AGTTTCCACGCATGACTAAGGTCCACTCGCAATGGTGGAGTCGTTATGCTAAAACAGGCCCGCCAACTGATTGAATCGCCGTGCAAACAGCTCGGATGGCTAGGTGTTCATTTGACCACATCAATAATCGCATGCCAAAGTAGACTACTTAGCATCCTTAAGAGAATGGAGATAGACCTCGGAAGTGGGTGGTAAAACCCGGGGCGACTTATTGATAGGATTGGATTCGCATTGATAGCCCCATCTACAAGTAGCACTTAAAATGTTGGTCGTTGACCATTGCAGTGTAGCAACCCAACGTAGGATTCTCCACTTTTCGGCGCATCTTTTTGGGGGGTTGATGGGTTGCTACTGGCTCATCATGAAAAATGTGATCCCAAAACCAATCGGGATTACGCCTCCTGCTCATCCAGTCCCTCGATCAAGTCTGTCCTTAGTGCAGTCAGCTGGAGACTCAAATGGCTGGTCAAATTTCACCATTGGAGGCATTGGATATGTTGATAGAACAACAAAAAATCAAAGAAACTGCAAGGTCAGCATCAATCCAGCATCATTTGGTTATAATATCATATATGTATATATATATATATATACACATCCCGTCATATCCCATTCAAAAAATAAAAATAAAAAATGATATTGGTTTTATATCCCAGTTGGAAATTCGTGTTATAATTTCAATATTATCCAATTAGTTCCATCATTGGATAGTGAATATCCTATTGATTTCCTATTGATTTCCAGGAAATAATTTGCTTATACCTCTCATGATTCCATCATTGCTACCAGAATATCATTAATATCTCATTATCATACCATTATTCATATATAACTATATACAATATATATATCCCATTATATATAACTATAACTATAACTATAACTATCATATATACAATAACTATAACTATATACAATACATATATATATATACATATCATATCATATCCACTGATCCCATCATTCCATGAAACCCCATATCGCCCATCATCGATGTCCATCGGGCGCCCCTGCAGGTGCATGCGAACTCCTCGCATGATCTCTTTCAAGCTGTCACTCATCACCGACACCTCCAAATCAGAAATCGTGCGCTGGTGTAGCTGGGAGATGAACCCTGAAATTCATGATGTTGAACTATCAAACATGTGGGTTTTGCTATCATAAATGCTCTGAACTATAACTATGAAAAAGTTGGCACAACTCCCGAAATACCTGGAATCCATTCTGAAAAAAAATGCTCTTGATTTACTTACAATGATTCAAACCACCTGAAATTCATGATCGACATATTCTTTGAAGCTGATGTGTAAGGGTTATATAACCATCCAAGACAGGTATCATTTTGCTTGCTGCATATCGAGGTTCACCTAAAACAAACGGAGGGAGGGGATACTGGACGACAGCTCTGGACGGCAGTCACACATGTCGAGGTGTTAATTTTCAGACTTTTTAGGAATGTGCTCCAAACCCATCAGCATCAAAAGCATCATAATTACTTAGTCTAACCATTCAGCATCGGACTCAAGTCAAAGGACTAGCATCGGACCTCACAGTCACACACTGCGGATTTTTTTCATCACCTCCGAGTCTCTTCATCGATTCAAATGTCACTCGCTTCAGGGTAGCCCCAGCACTTTAGCAAGTCAGGGAGGGACCCATGGTTCGCTGCCGCTTGGCAGCAGAGTCCACCGTACAAAAAGCCCTCTGCGATACTCCCAGGCGCCCAAAGCTATCAGTAGGAAGCAGTGGAAGTGATGCCATCTTGACCTCAATTTCTTCCCCCACTTCCTCCTCCTTGGTCACCTTGGTCGCCCTGGTCGCCTTGGTCACTTCCCCAAAGGCAGCCTTCAACGCCGCCATGGGCGAGGCACTCGACACGTGCGCCGCAAACGCAGCCCCAGGTGCCTCCAGGTGAAGCCTCAAGGTCCTTCCAGCCCCTCGCTGCAGACTCCGAGCCGCAAAAGCTTCGTACCTCTTTTTGGCCCTCAGCAGCAGCTCTGAGCTGTGCATCAGATTCTTCACCGTCGGTTCCCTCATTGGTAGCGGAAAGCCGAGGTCCCGAAGCATCTTGCCGTGCTTGGAGCAAGGGTCCAAGCCCACATTCCAACCACGGAGCTTCGAGAAGAAGACCAAGGTGTAGCGTCTTCCCGTGAAGGGAAGCACCTTGTGGGGCAAGTTGCCATCAAAACCCAGCCACCGGCCCTTCACGTTCGCCACGCGTCCCTTGCCTCGTTCAGGACTTCCGGGATTTCCCAACCAGCCATGTTTAATAAACGCTGATAAACGCATGAAATCAACTTGTAGATGAGAAATGATGAGAATATTGGTTACAATCCAAAGACAACCAATCTCACCAATGTCAAGAAGATATAACTTTACAGAAAGCTACCCTCTGGTAAATTAACATAGCTATTGAAAATGACCATTTATAGTGGATTTTCCCATTAAAAATGGTGATTTTCCATAGCTATGTTACATAACCAGAGGGTACTTGACAAACGCTGTTTGTCGGCAACCGCCTCCATGGCTGCCATCATCCACCCAGAGCTGTCCACCTCGATAAGGCCCAAGGCCGATGATGCGCGAGTCACCTGCATCCTTCTTGTCAACGTGGAGCTCGGCCGCGTAGTCCTTGTTCACCTGGGCGAATGGCAGATGGCTAGTTGGGTTAGCCAACTTCGTTAACTGGGCGAATGGATGAGTTTATGGTACATCTACTGAGTATCTACTGGATGAGTTGGATGGAAGTATGAACCCAGCTTACTGGGGGCATAAGCACTGGATGATCATAGCACAACCGGGCGCTAATGGGCCCAAAGCATGGCTGACATTCCGGTTCCATCACGAAGGCCCAGTTTTTGGCGGCGAAACATCACCCAAAATTAGACCATCCCCAATTCACCCAAAGTTACATTTTTCGGGTAACCCTCGATTTACTTCAATGGTGTTCCCAGCTGTACACATCTCATTTTACTCTCCAATTTTTCGGGATTAAGCTGGTCGCATTGTGTTCATGGCCCAGATGGCTCAGATGTCGCACCTGAATCGAAGTGAAGTGGAATCCGGGCAGTTCCTTCTGTGCAAAGCTGCAGAGGAGACGACACAAATTGGGCCGTTCCCGGGTTTGCCGCGAGGGCATCGGACCTGCCAGCAGCACAGCAAATGATGAAATGGTGGCATCTTGTTGCTGAAATGATGGTGAAATGGTGGTGAAATGGTTTTTCTTATCTACTAAGATTAGCTGCAAATTCCCCCATTGATTTCAAAGACAAGGCTATTTCACCAGCCATGTCAGACAACAAGACAAGACTCAGCGCTCCTTACTTTTCCTCTGCAAACATCGCTACTTTTTGGGTTTTAAGTTTTAGGTTAACCACTATATTTGAGCCCCAAAAAGTGATGTAAAGTTTACTCCCAAAATACAAGGGAGAACGTAAACTGGTGGTAATCTCTCGTTTTTTTGAACAAACTCAAATATGAAAACAAAAAATAAATAAACATCATTTAACTACGACAAGATATCCTCCAAAACATGTCTACCTATTTGGGGACCCCTGCAATTATATAAATGATTTTACCCACCATAGTGATAATCCACCATTGAACCATCAGTCCATGAGTTGTGACTTTTGTCCACCTCCGTCCAAACCTGCCGAATCTGCGCTGATGTTTTGCCAATTGTCGGGAAAAAACATCCATGAATCCTAAAAATTCTTCCAACTTGTTGCAAACCCAAAAAAAAGTCCGGCACTTTGAAGAACCTGGCCTCGGATCCAGCACTCAGTCATCCCCAAACACATCCCCAGCACTTCGCCATCTTCGCCTCTCCGTCGCACGTTGCTCCTGCTGCTCGCAGGAAAGGCGATGGCTTCCAGGGCCCTGAGGATGGCGGGACGCCCGGTGGCCTCGTAGTCCTCCGTTGACGACCCAGGAGGTTGGCGAAAACCCAACAAAAAATGGTGGGAAACATGGGAAAAGGCTACAGTCAAGGAGACCGATCACATTTTTTCAAGTGATTTCCATGAATCGATCTGACCAACTTGAAACCCTGTCCTTCAAGCATTGCTCTAGGAGCGACTTACTCAAATCGTGACATTCCATGGCGGCCATGGCAGTGCAACACCCCCAGATCGCTGAACATCTGACTCTGCACTAGCCAAAATTGCTGCAAATGTCATAGAATTGGTTTATGGGAAAATTTACAGGAAAGCCCTATATTTGATGGTAAAAAACCATGGGTTTCCTGTAGATTTTCCCTTAAACCAATCCAGTGAAAAGGCCTCCGTAAACGTCCGTCAAGTTCTCCCGTGATTCCTGTTGCCAAAGCGAAACTGTGATTTCGCCTCAATGCCCAGCTTCTTGTTGATATTCATCCCGAGGGGCTTGTCCAACACCTTGTGGAAAGGCCAGGCATATCATCCGTGTGAAAAAACTAACCCAGTTGCCCCAGTCATTTGCAACTACCAACCCAGTTGGTACCCAGTTGCTAGGCTGTTCTACATGGGTCACACTCCTTTGTCTCACTTCCAATGTGGCTGTAGATGTCAAAAAATCAAGACCCCTCAACTTTTAATCATTTGTAGGACCAACACCTTTCAGTTCTACGCGCACCTACTGCGGTACCAACTACTCTAATTGCGTAGAGTTGTTGCTCGATCGTTGCTGTATCATGGTCAGTGTTGGTTTTATCTTCCCCGATTTGACCCATGATCGCAACAACTCAATCCCCATTCCTGTTTCAATTGCTTGAAATCCGCCGGTTCATATTTCCATTCTGGGCGTTTGTATCCTTTATTTCGACCCGATTTTTGTTCGTCCCCCGCACAATCTATAAGATCAACGATGCAAGTCTCAATGGGGAAAATGGTTTCGAAACCCTTGGATTGTTGGGCCATTTTCGTCTCAGTGTAGGCCAGAAGTCTGACATGAGCCAATTAAAAATACCCCCTATCCCATCTCATGCCACGAGTATCCACTAGTTGGTTTTTCTGGTTTCCCCTCTGAGTTTCTCACAATCCCCAATAACTTTGGTAGTAAAACATAGTAAAACTCCCAAGAATAGCCTATCAACCAGGCTATTTTTACCGACCCATCCATTTTAGGTCCCCCAACCGCCAGACTTTCGGTGAGACCGGCGTCCACCACATTCCTCGGAAGATCAATGAACAATGAAGGTTAGAAAGTGGGGAACAATATAATAACTGTAACCCAGTTCTATAACAACTTATAATACAATATAATATATCATATTGATTCATATATTATAATAGATACCCCCATTCTTGGGGACCCAAACACGAATAAAAACACACCAGCTGGCCAGGTTTCCGTTGCCCATCTGCAGAATGACAAAAAATAAATTGAGGAATGGAAGTAACGTCCAGCTATACCAGCTATACCATCCATAACTTCCAGAAATGGGTTTTGGTGGATTTTGAGCTGCCATCTCCGGAAACGTGCCATTCTGAAGTAACAGTCATACCATCTAATAGTGTATATATCTAGCGTGTCATCACCATTTTGATGTGTTCACCATGGAAAATATCTTGGATTTTGACCAAAAAAAACACTATTGTGTCTTTGAGCCCAGTGACTTCTTCAGAAACTTCTTCAGACTCTTCCCCACGCTGCCGTCCGTCAATTCGGTACAGGCCTGGAGGTTCATTGGCCCACAAATAGTCGATTCTCACGGAAATGATTCATTTAACAATCCCAAACAAAAACTAGAAAAGGAACTTAGCACTAGTCTAGTGGGATTTTACTTTTTTTTGTGGAGGTTGCTATACTGTACTTGGATAAACACATCAGAAATAAAATGCTTACTTTATGTACTTGGACTTGGACCACAGTCTTTACCTGACCGCGGGGTATCGTTGGGGTGGGGTACTTGGGTTCATACGCCCATGCTATGCAGTTGATGCTATGGATTGTATGGTTATGAGCAAAACCCTGGTACCTAGGCACCCTAAAATTGCTGCTTACTGGATGTTTATTCCCCAAATATTGTAATTTCATAGGTTTTGACTTTTGACCGATTGCTAATCGCCACGGCGACAATCTCCAGCTTTTCGTTGAGCAAGCCTACCCAAGGAATTGCCTCCAGCAAGACAGTTTAGTTTGACCAGTGGACGCAGTTCTAAACAAATTTCGAACCATCCACATCTTGTTCCTTTGCAAAGCAAATCTAGGCCCTGAAAGTCAAACAACTCATTTACCCACCATAGTAGTGATAATTAACACAACTCGGTAATCCATCAGCTATTGGTGTTTCTCTGGCAACATTCACAACTGCTCCATGAACGCAGCAGTCCCCGGGCTACTTCTGGTGGTCTCAAGGTAGGGATCCACCGTGTCCCGTCACTGTGGAAAGTCAAGAAAAACTGATCCGGGGTGAGTAATTATAATTCATATGGATTTTTGCTCATGGAAAATGATCCAAGACCAGGTGCGTTTTTGCCTGTTTTTATTCATCAATGATTTTTAAATCCCCCAGTTTTCACTCTCGAATCCTCCATATGTTCTGCTTCCGAAAAAAAAAAAAAATCCCCTTTCCAGGCCTCCATGGCTGCCTTGGTGTCCTCAAACTTGTGAAAAGCCGTGAGGCCCACCTGCCGCCTCGGAGCACCATTCGGACCATTCTCAGATGCATCACATTTTGCTGCAACCTTTTGAGCGACTTACCTGGGAATTTACCAGTGGAGGTTGACTGGAGTGTTCAAAATGCATCTCATGACCTTGCACTCTGCCACAAAAAGAAGCCACTGCCACCAGCTTTCTGGGTATGGGTCAGAAGTCAGAACTATCAACCGCCACAAGCAGATGATTTATTTCCTGCTAAACTGCTAAAAGCGATGAAATCTGTAGGTTGTCCGGACCCCAATCTTGCCTCGGAATCATCTTATAGTATAATATAATATAATATAATACAATACAATACAATATAATACAATACAATACAATATAATATAATACAATATAATACAATACAATACAATAGGATATAATATAATATAATATAATAGAATATAATATAATATAATATAATATATAGTATCATATATCTTCCCTTGTGGTGCCTCACCTAACTCACGCCGAGTGGTGCACGCAGCATCATTGCTGGTCTTGAAGGAGTCATAGATGGAATCCGTTTCTGCCTGACATCCATGTAGTAAACATGTAGTAGCTATTTTTAATGGGAAAGTCATAAGAAAGTGTGGGCCTTGCTGTTCGAAATTCTGATACGGCTGATACGTAAGTTTTCCATGTCAACTATGTCAACATGTTTGTTAGTGGAGAAATGTGACAAAAATGCACTGGCAGAAATGGAAATGTTGAACAACAAAGGTAAAAATCATCCGGCAATGTGAAATTAGTGCCCGCAATCTCCAAAAATGCTCAAAATGTGGGTCATAGATGTCATAGTCCAAAAAAATGAACCATTTCTGGCGAGAAAAAAATACCTCCTGGCCCCCCAAAACTGCCTTCAAGAGCTTCTTGTTTTTCACAGTGAAGAGAGCATACCTCAGGTTCGGAGTCCACCTGAATCACTGAAACAACTCGGTAACTCTGAAATTCCAAGACGATTAAATTTCAATAAAAATTCACCATTTAGAATTTAGTGTGCTTTATAGAGCTTCTTAGATTTGGCTATTGGATTTACCACAAAATATATATAATATGTGATTGTATAAATTGGTTGATGGGTCCCCCAATTTATTGCAGTTCGAATAGGGCTGATGATTTTTTTCAGGCTTTAGAGGTACCCGAGTTTCATTTTCCCCGTTTCAGGAAATTCCCAACTTTGACAGTGCACAATTCTCCATATGGTCTGTCTCTGGATGGAATTTGTTGTGCTCATCCCCCACTGGGCGATCAACTCTTCCCTGATCCATGCGGTTTGAAAACATGCGAATTACCCCGTTTTTTTCCATCCATCGCTTCATCACGGTTCATCACCACTCCTAAAATGCCCATAATTTGAGGAAAAATCCACCATTTTCAGCCACAACCATGTCTGAATACCTTGCAATTTGATCTTGGCGCCCCAACCCGGCCGGAGTTTCGAGGAGCAAAAGCATCCTGGCAAGGCTTATCTAGATCTGACAGGGGGTTGGTGTTTGAAAAACCCAACTTGCCGTGGGTCAAAAAAAACACGTGCACGGATAGTGAAGTAATCGAATTTGGTGATGTTAGGCAGCTCAAATTTGGGCCTATCCACAAATAGATGCATCAAATAAATTCAAACAAAACAATGTGATTTAAAACCTAAATGTGGGGCCCAAGGGTGTTGAGGTGTCCAAATTCTAGATACATCTACCACCCAAGCCAATCAGCAGGGTATGGTAAGGTTTGGAGCGACGAAGCATCACATGGATTGATAGGAAACCTAAAAACCTAGATTTCAGCGAGTGGATGAATAAATTGAATAAATGGGAACATGCCATGTATGACTATTAGTAACTAACAATAAAACAAAATGTGGCTCACAAAATTGGGGCCGCATTGCACTGGTACGATTGGGGATGTATCCAGAAACGCCACCAGATTTTCGTAGCAGTCTGCCTCCACAGCCAAGGGTATTTTTGTACCACAAACCTATCACATGATGGACGTCAGCGCTACCACCCTTGTAAGTGTTTAATTAATATGGTTTTTGATTTTTTTTTTTACATGGTTTTCTTTACAGCCATCATGTTTCTCAATCTGAACATCCTACCGATTTGAATCACCAATTGACTGCTATTTTGGCCAATTTTCGGACCAACTCATCTTATTGTTTTCCAGTACCTTTGCCAGTAATCCCTTCCCCCCCACAAAAAAAAAAACGTAAGGGTATTTTTTAATTTTGGATCTATTCAAAGCAGTGTTTTCCACGAAATCCCTATGGTAAATCCCGTGAAAACGACACCATTGGAGCCAGCGCGCCTTGTCTCCTTTAAGTGTCCACGACCATGGCCGGTCGCATCGACCGCCCTCAGAAAAATTTGAACCAAAAAATGGGCACCGGTAAAATGAAGAACGCATTTTCACTGGGTTTCAATGTTCCATTGCTAATTAGCCCGAATTGAATCAAACAATAGGTTTTTGGACCACAATAAGAAGTTCCACCACTCTTAATTGGTTTTGAATATGGTTTT